CCACGCGCCATCCCTTACGGTCGAAGAATAATGAACTGTGATTGGTCAATTTCTTCCGACACGACTTATTACATCCTATGTAGACCCAGCCTTAGAATTAACCAATCATAGTTGACTATTCATACGACTACAACTTTACGACTTCTATGTAGACGAGGCTAAAGACATCTTCAAATAAGAATAGACTATGAACTTGAAGCAAGTATACCTGCAAGGGCCACAGCTGATAAAGAATGTCATTATCCTCAAATATATTTGTCCTTCGTATCTTTACTGTAATACGCACGTGCAGGTTGTATTATTTTATTATATACTTTGTATTACTGTGTCTATTACGTGGTTACATCTTGCGCAAAGAACAGGATAGATAGTTGCAGACACTCTTGCTACCCAAGGAGCGTCAATGCGCGTAAAATATGCTTTAAATGTACATTTAAATTCACATTTAATGCACGTGTTTGTCTGCATTAAATGCACATTCCAAAAAACTGTACCATTAACCGCCTATGCATAATTTTTAATGCATAAGCATGTATATAGAAAATTCTATAAAATTATATATCTCAAACATGCCCAAACGTGTTAAATACGCACATCTTGAACACACAATTAACATTCTCTTGAAGCCAGTAGCTGCGTTTGGCATTGCAAATCCGAGGTGTCGGAGTGCTCTTTTGCATTCGAGCGAGCGAAGAGAGAATGAGAGAGGAAGGGAGGAAGAGCACTCTGACGCCTCGGATTTGCAATGCCGAACGCAGCTGATGCAACAAAACGCGCATTAAAAGCACTGACGCTCATTGGGTACACACGTTACTCAGACTGGATGTGGCCCTTCCAGGTAGTGCGTTCTAAAGCAAACAACAGGATATCGTAATATAACCCAGGAATCTGTCTTTCCTACTAATTGTAACCGTACTCGCCTACAGGAGACGCAAATAATGCGCGTTCGATTGCTCTCTTTTTATGCCGCGAATACATCCAACATGGCCACCTTAAGCTCGTCTTTTATGACGTACTCGTGCCCCCCCTCTCCCAGCGCACAATTTGTATTGCATTTGCGTGAGCCGCGGCCGATCAAGTCGCTCCTCTCAGTTCATGGTCGCCGATATGCAAATTAATGAGGGAGCGCGCTCGTGCGTGCTCTTTGTGCACCCGAACGGCGCCGCTGTCAGCCGTCAGCAGGGAATGGCGATGGAAGCTGCGTTTCACGAGCGGCGCGGCACACGATCCCTGTCGTCGTCTAGCGCGTCCCCGAGTCCGAGCGCGGTCTTCTTCGACCTGGACAACACTCTCGTGGAGACCAGGAGAGCGGACGGTCAGACTTGCCGCAAGGTACGAGAGGACCGTCTCTAAAGCCTTAAGAACCGACCTTTCTCCCTTCCCCCCCTCCCGCCGCCCCGAACTGACCCGCGTGTCACCCTCTCCCGGACCCCGGAGCGAGACCGCTCGCCGCCGAGAGATCAGGCGGGCGTATCGCTTCCTCGCGACAGCCGCGCGCGATCTCGCACTTACCCGCGTCGCAAGAATAGAAGTCGCTCGCTCTCCCTTCTCCCTCCCTCCCGCCCCTCGCCGCTGCGTGTAATACGAGCCGACTCCCCGATATAGAGCGCTTTCTTCGCGGCGCGGCGGCTATTCTCGGCGCCGCGTTTCGCACCCTCGCGCGGATTCCTCGCGAGAGGCTCCCGAGCGCGCTTTCCTCGCGAGAGGCTCCCGAGCGCGCTTTCCTCGCCGCGCGCCCTTTCCCCCCCCCCCTAGATGCTAGGATCCCTCGCCGTCTCTCTGGGCGCGCGCGCGCACGGAAAGGTGCAAGGAAAGTGCAGCTGACTGCTGAACGCGAGGACGGACGTTCGAGGAGCGCTGGAACCGCGGCGCAAAGTCCGAAGTTGGTCGCGAGACGAGTTCAAGGTGTGGGAGAGAGAGAGAGAGAGAGAGCCGCTTTAAGCCGAGCCAACAAATTTTTGCCCCGACGAGAAGTTCGTCGCGAGACAATATCATTGACCGTAGCCGCGCGCGAAGATGGCGATTAGACGTCTCTGACTAATTGACCCGGCGACGCTCCGCCCTGTATCTAATGTATTGTTCCGACGTTGTTAGCGGAGGTAGCTTTAAGGTTATCCGAGGCGCGCGTCGAAACGGGATTCCCCCGGCACGACCGTTCGGAGAGATACTTCCTGACGGCGGAGCAGCTGCGACGCAGGCGGGCGGGCGGGCGCACGTGTTCCGCGCACGCATTCATCGTCCGGTGGGTTTATTCTCGGCCACTGCGGTGAGTGTGTCAAAGGGCAAGGCTAGGCGGCGAGAGAAGCGTTTCTGGGAGCTCTGCCAGTTGGCTCTCGACCGCGCTGCGTGACGGACAGCGCGAACAGCCGGTCCGACGCCACCTCGAGTCGCAACGCTCTCGGAAACTGCGCTCTCCCGTGACGCCGGCAACGTCGACGACATCTCGGTGCTGGAGCCTCCTCGTCCCTTCTCGTTCGTCTCTCGCGAGACAGCCGTAGCGCCATGAGTATCCCGGAGGGTGTGACAAAGTGCGCGGCCATCCTGAAGGCGGTGGACACGGACTCGGAAAAGTTCGCCGCGCTGTTCATGGTGACGAAGCTGGTGAACGGCAAGGATTGCGACGCCGCCGCCAAGAGGATGCTCTTTGAGGCCATCGGGGCCCGGTTCCTCAAGAAGCTGCTGTCCAGCGCGAGCGTACCCGTCGACTGCCCGCCGCAGGTGTACAAGTCGGTGGCGTTGTCCGTTCTCTCGGCGTTCTGCAGCGAACCCGAATTGGCCTCCCATCCCGACATGGTGGAGCACATCCCGGCGCTGCTGGAGATAGTGTCACAGATTGACGAGGATGCGCCGGACGACATGCTGATCATCGTCAGCGAAGCCTTCACCTGCCTGCAGTGCATCGCGCAACATCCACCCGGACAGAAAGCGCTACTGGAGCAGAAGGCGATTCCGAAGATGTGCGACATATACGCGGAAAAGACCTTCCAGACGGACGAGGCCTTGAACATTCTAGTCACGTTGGTCGGCACGTTTGGACCAGAAGCTTGGAGTCCGACGGACACCGCTCCCTTCCACGCTATAATCAACAAGATTGCCTTAGATTTTGAGACCGATCACACGGAGAGAAAGTTCGAGGTGTCCGCCATCCTGCAGGCTCTACTGCAATCCTGCAGGAAGGAAGTGATATCAGCGAGCGCAAAGGAGGAGTCCTGGCCGTTGAGCATTCACAAGGGCCTGAGCGATATTCTGGGATCGAAGATAGGCAAGAAGCAACGGGACCCGGCCCTGAAACTCGCGTCGGTGATGATAGATTTGTTGGGCGCGGACTGGGCCATGTCCGACAAGGAAAAGCCAAAGATATTCTTCCTCCTGCTCATTCAGCTGGCGTCGATCGAGGTCAGGATGCAGTTGGAGGACAAGCAGCTTAAGACTGTGCTCGAGAACGCCGACTTGGTCACGGCTTGCTTCATCATTCTCGAGATCTCGATCGGCTACATCGTTACGGACCAGCTGGAGCTGGAGCAGAAGGAAAAGCAGTCGCTGTACACGGCGCTGAAGGGCGCCTTCGCGGCTGTCATCGGTCTGCTGAGCTCCGTGTCCAAGATGAAAACGTTGACGGACGTGAGGGAGAAGATGTTCATGTGCGCCGTCGTCAGGGTGCTCGCGGCATGGATGGCGCAGGAGACGAGCGCGATGCGTCCTCAGGTCTACGCGGTGCTGCCGTACGTATTGACGGTGGCTAACAATACTTTTTACGCGCATCGAAACAGGAAACTGGCCGAGAAAGCCAAGTGCAGGGCTAAGGCGGACGAGGGGACGTCGTCCGGCGAACCGACCGTTCACGACCCGATAAGCGAGGTCGACGTACTCAGATTACTGTTGCCTGCTCTGTGCTACTTGGCTGTGGAAGAGGCCGCCAGGAAAATCCTTCTTCAGCATAAGCAGGACGAGGTCCTGTTCGAGTGTCTGTCCTATCATTGGACCATCGTGGACTACAAGAAGCCGCCGGTGCCGAGGTCGGAGCGTCTCAAGCTTCTGCAAGACGGCAACCGCACGGAGGAGCTGGATTTGCACATACTGGAGGAAATGAAGGACTCGAGGGCCGCGATGGTGTCCCTCTGTAACGTCTTGATGAACATCACCGTGCTGGAGGCGAAACTGGTCGAGGAGTCGCCGACGTTTGTCTCGCTGCTCAAGTTCATCTACAACAATCTGCCGGTGCTAAAGCAGATCCCGGAGAACCTGGTGCTGCACGGCCATCTGGCGGTCCTAGGCCTGTTGCTGATGAAGCAGCAGGCGAAACGCATCAAGAAGACCGACTTCTCGATATGCCTTTACATTCAGGCCACCATAAGATTCCTGTGGGACGCGTACATTATCGACGAGAGCAACGATCCCACCGAGCTGGTGGTCGCCATATCTTACAAGGAACACTGGATGGAGCTGATGGAGCTCTGGTTCCTGGGGATGCAGACGATGACCGGCGTGCTGCAAGTGATACCCTGGTTATCGCAGTTTATGATAGAATCCGGCTGGGCCGAGGAGATCATCGAGACGCTGAAGCGAGTGAAGATCGGCGGTCTGGAGCAGAACGTCAAATCCGCCTTCGAGGATCTGCTGTGCCACTTGGTGAAGGCTGATGATAGCGTCGCGTCGGTGTTGAAAAAATGCGGCGCGTTAACCGTCTGTCGAAATCATCGTATGATGGAGCTTGGAAAGCGTCTCTTCGGAGACTAGGACCGAGCACCGGGCGAACGTTACCGCATTAGCTTTTCGTCTTTTGTAATGCGCGAGCGATGTACAAAAATATTCTGCGGCATTGTAGAGGTAGCGAAAAATGCATTAATCACACTAATGTATAAAGGGCAACTTTGTAAAGTAGCTTCTTTAGTATTCTGCGACTTGAATTTATCATTTTACGCGTCTCTTTCGTACGATATTCGTAATGCGTATGTGCGCGTAGTCCAGTGTATATTTAGACGGCATCACGTCTGGAAATAGTTTCCTGGCAAGCAGGAAAGCTAAGAAATGTATCGCTCGAAGAAACTCTTCGTAAATCACGTATACAGAGGTACATTACTTGTTCTTACACGAGACTTTAATATGTACATTTCGTTTGTCTGTGAGATATTATCAAGTGTGCTTTTCCTTACTTCGCTACGTCGCGGAAGCGAAGATTGTTGTATTGTAACGTTACATTTAATCTTAAGATGCTCTAATCAAGATTTTTGTAACGACAGAAGCACTTTCCTATTAAATGGAAGAATTTTGTAAGCGTTCGCTTGATTTCATCACCATCATCCACTTTATCACTTTATGTGCCTAACGTTTTTAATGAAGTTATTTTTAACAAAGATATTAAAGAAAGATTACTGGATAGCAGAGACTAACTAATTTTGCGCGATTAACTGCGAGCTGTGTACGCAGCACATACTTTCCCCAAGGACGAGTCCACGTTTTAATATCCAGAAATCTTTCAGCTACAACTTATAGGCTTTGGAAATAACATGTGATGTAGTTGTTGTTGGCACAACTCATTTTGTTGTGATTACAGCAACGTCCGCGGGTGCCACTTCGAGTGTCCACTAATCGGCTCGAGTATTTCAATGAATCAATGCATTTTCTAGGTAATCATTAATAATTAAGTGTCCTAAAAATCCTTAACTGACCGCTGTATCCTGTCGTCCTGAGACCTTCGTTAATTAATCAGCTCCACAATCAATATTTGTCTCTTCAGCTACTTTATATCTTGTCTGTCGAGAAATCGCTTTACTAACAAAAGTCTAATTCCCCCCCCCCTTTCTTTTAATGAAGAGAAACGTTTTATTCTGCGACGAACAAGATAGCCGTCTTGTGTGCATTTTTATTGAGTGTGGAAATTGCTTTCATCCTCATCTTCTCCTTCATTTTCAGTTCTTCACTCGTCATTCTTTATCACAAAACATGATTGAAATAAAAGAGAGCTAATGACTCTCATTGTATGCGTTTACCTACAGTTGGCTGAGGAATTGATGCGAGAATACGGTATTCCGGAAGATGCGTCGACCAAGATAACAGCTACGTATCTGAAACAATTTAGAAAGTGTCCGGACAACGCGACCCTCACATTGGACGCCTGGCGTACCATTCTTTGGAGCAAGGCGCTGGGCCATAAGTACTCGCATCTAGCAAAAAAGGTTTACGAAAGATGGCTCTATTTAAGATACCATTACATGATGCTGACGCCGAACACAGTTTCTATGCTGCGTCAATTCAGAAAGAAGTATCTGCTGGGTCTGATTACCAACGGCCCGTCAAATGCCCAGTGGGAGAAGGTGTACAAACTGTCGCTGGAGCAATACTTCGACGTTATCCTGGTGTCCGGTGATCTGCCGTGGGAGAAACCAGAAGCCGAGATATTCCAAAAGGCTTGCCATTTTCTCAACGTGAGACCCGAGGAGTGCATCATGGTCGGTGACAAGTTGGAGACCGATATTTTAGGTAGAATTTCTTCTAACAATTTTTATAATTAAACAATATAAGAGAACCGCCAATGTGGGTCACAAGGCAAGATGTAGGTAGCCCAACTTGTAAAGCTTAAATCCTGAAAATCGTGAATCTATATACCGTTTTTTACCACATTAGTTCTACGCGCCTACTTTTATAATCTTCCACAATTGTACTTGGAATATTTACTTCGAAGGATATTATATTAGACATGTAAATGAAATGTTAAATTATTATGTAGGTGGGATCGAGGCTGGATTATACGGAACAGTGTGGATACCTACTACCGATAAACCTCGTCTTTCGGGAGACGATCCTAAGCCAGATTTTACAATAAGACACGTAACAGAACTTCTCCGCATATTGGAGAGAGGTCCAAACGCGCCGGAGTTCGAAGACTGCTCTTCAAATGGATCCGATGGCAGCTAATGAGAAGACGCGTGTTATATTAATTTTTTTTTAATATAAAACGACTTGAAAAATGTTTGCAAGCATTCAGTGTCTTACTGAGATCTTATAGGATCTTTCAGATTTTTGTTGTATGTGTTAGCGTTGTTTTTTTTCTATTATATATGTGTTTTACGATAGCACTCGAAAGTAGACGTAGATCGTCGTTAATATATTGATTTCTATTAGAAACATTTTTTTAAGTTTTTATATATTTATCACAGTCTACAGTTTTCGAATTTTTATGAAATTTTCATAAAATATGCTACAGTCTATCTATACTGTATATCGATACAACACACAGTCCTATATTTCGTTATTTCGTAGAGTAATTAAAGACGAAAAAGCAGCTTAAAAAATGCAGTTATTTTGATAATATTATATATTAACATTTTATAAAACTTGTTTTAGATGACGAGAGAACCACCGCTATATTTGTAGTGATTTAGCAACTTACCGATTTATTTTGCAAATAGATGGCAAGTGAGATATTTTTCAGTTACCTTTTCGAAGTTACCTTCTCAAAGTTAAAATAATTATAGTGTATCGAATAAGGGAGACAAAGCTCATGTACAAAACAAAATGCACAAACAGAGCCAGTAGCTGTAGATAAATGAACAAAATGCAACCATACACAAGTATTTTATCGTCCGTACAATTTAAAAAAAAAACGCGCTGTAATATATATATATTTTTTTAATAAGATACCCGCATAATATATTACATATAAATCTCCTGTTGTACAAACACGTAACATTTGTATATCTGTACATAGATATGCACAGAACGTTGTATATGTGCGGCTACAAATGTACATGGTATATTTTTTCATGTGTATATTTTATCTCTGTTGAGAATTCAGCTTGTTGGATGTTCTATGAACCGCAGATCCTCATACAGACGTATTGTGAAACCCGATATAAGAAAACAGATGTATATGAATAAAGAAAAGATATATGTACGTGTGAATGTGTGAGATAAAATCAACGCTTATTTCGCGTCCCTGTAATTATTAACATCGACACGTCGG